TTGTTCCACAGTTTAGGAGCAGTTACAGCAAAGGCCCGATCTCCTCTGTGCTTTAATCTGGACCTCAGGACAGCCTGGAGCATTTGATCCACAGACCTCAGTGATCTTGTAGGAGTGTACAATTTAAAAGATCCGAAAGGTGTGAGGGTGCGAACCCGTGCAACGCCTTAAAAAAAAAAAATTAAATCTTAAAATTAATTCTAAAGCTAATTGGCAGCCAGTGTAATGATGGCAGTATGGGAGATGTGTGTTCTCGCTTGCATGTGCCAGTTAGTAGCCGTGCTGCAGTGTTTTGGACCAGCTGCAGGCGGCTAACTGATGACACTAACACCAGAGTAAAGACTGTTACAGTAGTCGAGGCGAAGATGAAATGAAGGCATGGATAGCTCTCTCAACGTCTCTAAAACAGAGAAATGGCTTCACTTCAACAAGTAGCTAAAGATGAAAGAACCTGGTCTTGAGTACAGCATTAATCTGTTTATCAAATGTTAGATTAGAGTCAAAAATTACTCGTAGGTTCCTCGCGAAAGTTTTTTTTTTTTTTTAAATAAATTTCTAAGGGGCCAAAGTCGCAGTGGTCACAGGGACCAAACTCAATCACCTCTGTTTTCTGTTCATTTAGGTTAAGAAAGTTTAAAGCCATCCACACCTTAACAATCTAGCAAACCCTTCAGAAAATAGTCAGAGTGGATTGCGGCGGAGGAACAGTGATGCAGTCTCTAAGCGCATCTGTAACCGGAAGGTCGCCGGTTCGATCCCCGGGCTCTCTGTCCTGGTCGTTGTGTCCTTGGGCAACCTACCGCCTACTGGTGTTGGCCAGAGGGGCTGATGGCGCGATCTGTCAGTCTGCCCCAGGGCTACAACTGTAGCTGCCTCCACCAGTGTGTGAGAATGTGAGAGTGAATGAATAGTGGAATTGTAATCAATCAATCAATCAATCAATCAAAGCTTTATTTGCCACATGCAGGTTGCCCTGCAGTGAAATGGGACCCCCCGATCTTACAGACACAATTTTACAGTGTTTATTTACTTTTAAATAAATAATTTTTTTTTTTTTTTGGCCTGTCCCATTTGGGTCTTTTGCCATCAGAATTGTTGTCTAAAGGCAAAGAAAGATACCCAACGGATTTTACTTTACCAAACTGACCATCCCAGCCTTGCCGTAATGGTCCATTTGATTCACCTTTTATTGTTTATTTTATTTTCACTTACTGAATACGGGAC